GAGGGAGCGGGATACAGCTGGGACACAGAGTTAACAAAATGTAACTAAAAATAAAAATAAAAAAAAAGAAATTGTGGCTGAAGAAGATGTAGACATTAGCACTGACAATATAAAAAAAGAATGTGGCTGCTATCAAGAGGACAGAGAAGCGGAAAAGGGGAGAAGAGCAGGCATCAACTGCTCTTTACCGTTTTATGAAGCAATAAACCAAGAAAGTATGCGTAAAAAAATAATAATAAAATAAAATAAAATTCATGTCACTAATTAACCAATAAATACATGCATTTCACTTGGTAAGAAAAAAAAAAGAAATTATTTCCTATAGTTCTTAGTTTAATATGTAAAATCTCAGGGTTTGGGTTCAGGTTCAGTGAGTACTTTCCTTTCGAACTTTATCTAAACAGCCATATGAGAAAATGAAGGTTAAAAAAAAAAAACTCTAAACAGTGTGAATAATATTCTACCAAACGCCTTGTGAAGCAAATGTTCAAAAAGTTATTCAAAAGATTGTTTTGTTGCCATACTTTTCAAACAAAGATACACATTTTTTTAATGCCCAGTTTTTTCCAGGGTTTACATAGCAGAAATCTTCTTATTTGGGGAGAAATTAAAATTGGAAGCAGATATTGTAACTACCTTGAGTGTGCAGGGAGATGGCAACAAGTATTTACTAGGACTCGCCTCAAAGCCCCAGTGACCCCCTTATTCTTTAGGCTATAGATGACAGGGTTCAGAGCTGGGTGACAACTGTATAGAAAACAGAGAAGATATTGTCTTGCTTTGGATTGTGGTAGGAACTGGGTAGGACATACATGACCGTGAGAGCCCCAAAATACATGCTCACAACAGTCATGTGTGAGGAACAGGTCACAAGGGCTTTCTTCCTGCCCTTGTTGGAGGGCATGTGGAGAACAGTGAACAAAATCTGTGCATAAGAGAAAAAGATAGCAGTAAGAGGGAGAATTAGCATGAGCACACCCACCAAATAAAACACAAGTTCATAACTAGAAGTGTCTGCACAAGCCAGCTCTAGCAAGGGAGGGATCTCACAGAACAGGTGTCTGATCTGTCGGTATTTGCAGAAAGGGTAATGCATGGTGTTGATGGTAAATCCTAGGGCCATCACTGATGCCAGGATCCATGAGGCAGCCACCATGAGCCAGCAAACACTTGGCCTCATAAAGATCATGTAGGTCAGAGGGTGACAAATGGCTACATACCTGTCATAGGCCATGAAGGCCAGAAGGAGGTCCTCTGCACCACCCAGTACCAGTTCTAGAAACATCTGAAGGGCACAACCTCCAAAAGAGATGGTGTTATCTTTGAGTAGAAAAACCATGATTGCCTTGGGAGTAATAACTGATGTCAGAAGGAGGTCCATGAGAGACAGCTGTCCAAGTAGGAGGTACATGGGCACGTGGAGCCAGGCATCCATAGTGATGGCCAGGAGCAGCAGTCCATTGCTGGTCAGAGCTGACATGTACAGGGCTGTGATGGTGACACAGAGCAGTTCAGGAGAGCCACTGCCATCCAGAATCCCCAACAAGATGAACCCACTTACCAAGGTCGAGTTCCTGAACTCCATTCTGCCAGGTTTCTTTGGTTGCCTAGAAAAAGATGGCTTGGTGAAATTTTGTTAGTATGGACTCTAGTTTGTAATATACCTGCATGATTCCAGCAAGAAGACAGCTTTCATTCTTTATTTTCAAATTTTGTGCTTTAAATTGTACTTGATAAAAGTTCTGAGGTTAGATGTCGATATTGATATTGACTGGAAAGTGGTACTCAGCTCTAGACTATAACACAGAATCCTTATCACTCCAAATTGAATATCTATTTATATTTAAAAAAAAAAACTAGTGAGAATCAAAGGGCAATAGAACCCAAAGCAAAAGTGAGTCTAGTGGTATAATTTAAATCTTTCAGGCCTGCTTTGCACTGTGCTGATTGCTTTAACATGCTCGGGGCTTCACATTTCATTAAATGAAAGTCAAATTCCTTACCTCAGTTGGTGAGAAGCCTAGCTACCTGACCACAACAGCTTCCCTTAGGCTGCTTGAAGAGAGGATGTTCCATTCCAAAAGGAAGGGCAGGCGTGGATTTCTTAAGCTGTGACTAATTGGTTTGTGTGCTAAGTTTGTGATAGAAGTCCATCAAACATTAGGTATCAGAGCTGTTCTGTGCCTGCCTCTCACCTACAGGTGTGTTGTAGAGATAATAGTGAGGACATCCAGGCAATTAACAGCCTTTGGCTAGCTTTCTATGGAGCAGGATTTTGGCTTTCCTATTGTCACTTCTACGGTGCATTACTAGAAACAACTTCCGTTTGACCAGTTACATGGGTGAAGCCCCTCTAGCTTCCTTGTCACTTTTCAAACTGCTCTTGGATCCTGATGTTTAAATTTCTTCATCCTACTAGTGTGTGAGAGCAAAAATCAAAGTTGCATGAGGAACAGGGATTCCGAGTTGACAAAAGGGTTTCTTTGATCTCCATCTACTTGTTTCTAGGCCCAGAGTTGCCCAGGGCCTCACCCACAAACACTCTGTCTTTTGATCCCAGGATCTCCTCATTTTTTCTTCTCTTGTGCTTATCTTCAGAGGGACTTATCTCCCAGCTGAGAAGTCCCCCTTGGAAATGTTGGCCTAGCAAGTAGTAAGTTAACGAATCCTCTTGGGATTGTGTCCTGGCTTGCTTTCCTGATATCTGCTGTCACTTAGCCAATTCTGAAGACCTGGGTTTCTCCTGGAATGTGAGATCTACCTTCCTCGGCTTTCCAAGTACTGACATGATAGGTAAATACTATCAAGACTTCATAGATCTGGTGTGACCAGAAGAGAAAATTTGACAAACTATGTTTACTTTTCTGGCTGCATAGACCTGCAGGGGTTCCAAGAGGGGCCAGTTTAGAAAGTTAGAGACGACCAACAGGAAATGGAACAGGTCAGGAACAACATTGCGGGGAGATTGTAAATGGTGGTGCAAAGCTTGGCCTACCCGCATGGCGGTTTCACAACAAAGCTTATCATTTTAAATAACTGCTACGCACAAACAACAGTTCAAAGGTTGAAGTAGCTTAATGTGACAAATAACTGAACTGGCACAATTTACTAACACACACTGTAAGTACTGCAGCTATTTGCCAAGAACTATTCTCAGAGAAGAGGTTAAAGAATCGCAAGCAGATGACACATGCGGGAAAGAACTCACATAGCTAAATGACTGGCCACACTTAACATAGCAATGAAGAAGAAATGTGTATTGTGTGTGTGGGGCGAACATTAGGCATGGATATGTCCCGGTGTTCACAAATTCTAATAATAAAAACGGGGGGAAGTTCATCCAAAGAATGTCACTTTTATAATGGTATCAGTTACTATTGAAACAGTGCAATTTTTATGTATGCTATTGCTGTAACCAACAAGTTAAAACCTGCATCTAACATTTTTAGAGTTGAAAATTAAGAGATGGGAAAGTTTAAACAGTGTTTTTCAGCCTATATTAGCGAAATGAGTGACTAATGGTAAGTAGACTGAGGAAAGGAGGATGAGAAAAAAACAGGTGAGAGCACTCCAGGATAATGTAATGAGACCGATTATGTGCATTCCCAGAACCCTGAGCAGCTCCACACTCTGACAACAAAGGCACACACCCACAGGAGTGTGTGAATGAGAGGGCAGAAACGTGAAATTTAGAACTGAAACGCCACGGACAGGTCCAATAATTAGGCGTTGAAGGACAAAGAAGGAAGACCTTACTTTATCCATTTGATTGTCCGTCTCCTCGTAAGCTGGTCATAGCCCTGAGAAGAGGCACAAGCAGGTGGGGTGTGCAGAGCCTCAAGGGTGATGGACACCCTTAGTTACTCGACAGGGCCTCCTCAGAGGTCGCTTGCTTCTCAGCTGGCCCCTGGTACCACCTCTTCACATGGGAAGCTCCCTGGCAAGGGCTGTCATATTATATCATGAACACTTGCAGGACAGGAGATTTAAAATTTGAATGCATGAGCTCTAAAGAATTCAGATTTTATGTTCTTTTGTTTTCCTTTTCATAATTTTTGGGTTTTCTTTTTAAATAATTTATTTATTTATTTATGACAATTTATTCACTTTGATAGGTGAGATCCTCCTCCCCTTCCAGCTGACCCTGCCCTATCAAGTCTCATCAGGGCTGGCTGCATCATTTCCCTCTGCAGCCTGGCAAGGCTGCAACCCCCCAAGGGGAGGTAATCAAAGAGCCAGACACTGAGTTTATGTTAGAGACAGCCCCTGCTGTCCTTACCAGGGAACCCACTTGAAAACTGAGCATGGGGTCTAGGTCCTCTCCATGCATGGTCCTTGGTTTGAGTATTTGCGGCACCCCTAGGCCCAGGATTTTTGGCTCTGTTGGTCTCCTTGTGGAGTTACTGACCCTCCAGGTCTTTCTATCAGCAATTAAAAACAAGGAAATCATGAAATTTGCAGGCTAATGGTGGGAACTAGAAAAGATCATCCTGAGTGAGGTATCCCTGAAGCAGAAAGACACAGGGTATATACTCACTCATAAGTAGATATTAGCCATATAATATAGGATAAACATACTAAAATCTATAGTCCTAAAGAAGCTAAACAACAAAGAGGACCCTAGGGAAGAGGCTGAAACTTCACTCAGAAGGGCAAACAGGATAGACATCAGAAGTTGGAGAACAGGAACCTTCCACAGGGGTATTTGGTTTGTTTGGTTGTGTTTTTTGTTGTTGTTGTTTTACTTTTTATTAAAACTGACTATAATTCTAATCGATACAGAGATGTAAATTACTTTGAACTTTTTGTTTTAAGTATAGAATATAATTTTCAAAAAGGGAAAAGGAAATATACTTGTTTGTACGTTTAGTTTTTTTTCTTTTTATTTATTTGTTTTTTATTAGTTACAGTTAATTCACTTTGTATCTCAGCTGTGGCCCCCTCCCTTGTCTCCTCCCAGTCCACCTTCCCTCCTTCTTCTCTCCCTATGCTCCTTCCCTCGTCCCAAGATATGGGAGGTCCTCCTCCCCTTTCATTTGACCTTAGCCTATCAGGTCTCAACAGGACTGGCTGCATTATCTTCCTCTGTGGCCTGGTAAGACTGGCCTCCCCTCAGGGGGAGGTGATCTAAGAGTCAGCCACTGAGTTAATTTCAGAGACAGCCACTGCTCCCCTTATTAGGGTACCCACTTGGACACTGAGCTGCCATGGGGTACACCTGAGCAAGCGTATCTCCATGCATGGTCCTTGGTTGGAGTATCAGTCTCTGCAAAGACCCCTGAGCCCAGATTTTTTGGTTATGTTGGTCTCCTTGTGGAGCTCCTGTCTCCTCCAGGTCCTTCTATTTCCCCCTTATTTCATAAGATTCTCCGCACTCTGCCCAGAGTTTGGCTATGAGTCTCAGCATCTGCTTAATACTCTGCTGGATAGTCTGTCAGAGGCTCTCTGTGGTAGGCTCCTGTCCTGTTCCCTCTTTTCTCCCTCTTCTGGTGTCTATCTCATTTGCCTTTCTGAATGAGGATTGAATATCTTCCCTAGGGTCCTGAACAAGAGTTTCAATAAGAGAAAGGGATGGAATGTGGGGTGGGGCTTATATGTGATGGGGAAATCAGTATTATAACACAGAACAATGGAAGAAACCATTCCAGGAAGAAATGTAAACAAAATTTGAGGAAAAACAGTGAAATTGGGAGCCAGGGTTCTAGTGGCAGTTAGCAGTTGGTAAACAGTTGGCATGAATAAAATTACATTAGGCTGTTTAGGTATAGATAGATGCAGGTAGGTAGGAGCTTTGGAACAAGGAAGTGGGTGTGTGGTTGAAGGTTCTTAAATTAAATGTGAAACAAGGTCACAGAATGAAAGCAAAGTTGTGACAATGGCATACATGCATATATACATATATATCTTATATATATAAAGAGTGTTGGTGGGTTTAGGAATTACCCCAGAATACATTGTTCTGGTAGGCCAGGCTGCACATTGTAAAAATGCCTGCAATGAAAATTTAAAATCTGAATATACTCGTGATCATATTGCCACTGAGTTTTAACACTGCAGACAATAGGATTAAATATCTTCATGTGGGGCTGGAGAAATAATGGCTCAGAGGTTAAGAACACTGGCTCTTCCAACAGTCCTGAGTTTAATACCCAGAGCTCACAGCCATCTAGGATGAGGTCTGGTGCCCTCTTCTGGCATGAAGGTGTACATGCAGGCAGAACACTACACATAATAAATACATCTTTTTTTTTTCTTTTTCTTTCTTTCTTTTTTTTTTTTTTTGCAGGAATGGTATTTTATTTTATTTTTTGTAATTTTTATTTTTTAATATTAGTTACAGTTTATTAACTTTGTATTGCAGCTGTATCCCGCTCCCTCATTCTTTCCCAATCCCACCCTCCCTCCCTCATCTTCTCCCTACCCCTTTCCAAGCCCACTGATAGGAGAGGACCTCCTCCCCTTTCATCTGACCCTAGCTTATCAGGTATCTTCAGGCCTGGCTGCAAAGTCCTTCTCTGTGGCCTAGCAGGGCTGCTTCTCCCTCAGTTGGGGGTGGGGAGGGAGGTCACAGAGGCAGCCATTGAG